GGTAAATGAGGTTTTCTGGGACTTACTGCTTAGTTACTTGTAACATATGTGGCATAATCTAAAAGAAAATAAACAATGAGCCTCCCTAGTCCCTTAAGACACCTAAACCAAATAGCCTTGAATTAAGGCAGCTCTGGCTGAATCATATGACAAGTTCACAGACAAACTGTGATGTCTGAGGACTGGGAGGAAAATTTGGGTGATGGAGCATGGCCCAGGGGTCTGCCCTCTCTGCATAATCAGATCTTTTTCCCAAGCAACAATATAGTGTTCTGAAATTACATTTTGTTGATTACCAAATAATTGGTTGATAATGACACTTTTTTCCTTCGGGCATTCTGTGGGAAAATATTCACTAAGAGGCAGGAGTTTCAGGAAGAATTGATAAAGTGCCATTAACCAGAACCATTAAATAGAATTCTCTATTTGCTAGTAATTTCACACAGATTCAAACACAAAGATGTAAGAAGCTGTAAAAACAACCCCACAAAAACCAAGGCTTGACCTTGGTCGTTGTCAGCTAATTGGAAAGGACTCTAGGTCCTAAGGCTCTTACCACCGCATCACCAGTCTCTCTTCTATATAAACGTAGTTCTCAAAGTGTAATCCCCAACCACCAGCTTCAACATCATCTGACAAGTTGTAAGAAATGCAGGTATTAAGGCCTCAACCCAGGCCTGCTCTATTAAAATGTCTGGGGCTTGGGATGGGCAGTGGGAGGTGGGGTTTGGGGCCAGCCTTCCAGGTGATTCTGATAGGAACTACTGCTGTGTACCAAGGTGACTAATGTTTCTAATGGAGACCCCAATGCATGTCAAAATACAAAATGTGTTCTGAAACACAGCTTCTGATTGTATGCCATGCAGGTTTAATATACAAGTAAGTTGTCTTGCATTCTAGTTGTTTGAAAAATGCCTGCACTCAGGGAGGTTTGATTAAGACAATAGCAGTTGGAGAACTTGCTGTATTTGTAATTGCTGGATAACCTTATGTTTCTCAAGGTAAACTGTTAATCAGATCATTGTCATACAGTTTACTTCCAGCTAATGAACTGTTGGCTGTCATCACCACAGGAACTGGAACACTTGCTTAAAGTGGACGTTTTCATTAAGTCCGAACTCCATCTACTCCTTTTCTCCAAACCTCTGATAATCACTGCACGAGCATAAGACTGCCAGCTTTTTAATTAAAGCCACTGTATTAAAAACAAAACAAAATAAAACAAACAAACAAAGCACCTTGCTTCATTAAGACACTGATTTCATTATTTAACTACTAAGTGTTGTCCTGATGACTCTGCGGACACCAGTTCACCAGATTTGCGCCTTTAATTTCCTCACCTTAGCTCATTTGAGAAGCGCATCTTCAGCAAGTTTTCACTCAATTCCCACATGACATGATTTAGCCAAATCAGCCACTGGATGCTTACACAGGATTAAAGCATTAACATTCTCTCAAATCTTGGTCCAAGGACAAATCCTCCATACAACTGCTAAGTTTAGGTGATAGGACAAACTACTTAAGTGTGAATGACACCCCAGAGATGGGCTTCCTGTTGGCCTGGCCCCCTGACATATTGGCTGAAGAACACAGAAGTCTGGTATTCAAGCTGTGCAGGTTAGGAATGACAGCCATTGCTTTCATCTCCTCTGTCTTTAACTGTAGGGGGTTGCATTTTTGCTCCATGCATAGATGGGAGGGAGACACATGGCAAAGTTTCTGCCAGGATGCTAGACCACTTTAGGGACCCTGTCCTGCGAGCTTTCCTCACTGCACACCAGTATTGTCCATCCTTTCCTTCCTCCTCATAGCCTCCCAGCAGCACCCTCAGCTGATCTCTTTTTGCCAGGAGTAGACAGGTGTCCCTTGAGAACAGAATGTGAACTGTTCAGCAGAACTAGAGTTAAATAGACCCAAAGGAAAGCATTTGGAAAGAAAAACTATGTTCAAAATATGCTCAAGGAGACTTATTTAATTTAAGGAGACATGGAGGGGTTTGTCTTATCAGCAAAATAACCTGAAGATATTCTGCCCTCACTTAAGGCTTTTTAAAATTGTTCTACTGCAGTTGTCCCAATTTTTTCCTCTTTTGCTCTCCTCCACCCATCCCACCCCTTGCTCCCACAGTCAATCCCCATCCTGCTGTCTATGTCTCTGAGTCAGTCATATATGTTCTTTGACTAGACCCTTCCCCTTCTTTCCAGCATTATCACCCTCCCCACTCCCCTCTGGCCACAGTCAGTCTGTTCTGTGTTTTCATGTCTCTGGTTCTATTTTGCACATTAGTTAATTTTTGTTGATTAGGTTCCTCTTATAGGTTAGATCATATGGAATTTGTCTTTCACCAACTGGCTTATTTCACTTAGCATAATATTCTCCAGTTCCATCTATGCAGTTGCAAAAGGTAGGAGTTCCTTCTTTCTTTCTTCTGCTTAGTATTCCACTGTGTAAATTTACCAGTTTTTTGATCCACTCATTTACTTATGGGTTCTTAGGCTGTTTCCAACACTTAGCTATTGTAAATAAAGCTGCTATAAACATAGGGGTGCATGAGTTCTTTTCAGTTGGTGTTTCAAGATTCTTCAGGTATATCCTTAGGAGTGTAATTGCTGAGTCAAAAGGTAGTTCCATTTTTAGTTTTTGAGGAAATTCCATACTTTTTTCCACAGTGACTATACCAGTCTACATTCCCACCAACAGTGCACTAGGGTTCCCTTTTCTCCACATCCTCGCCTGTACTTGTCGTTTGTTGATCTATTACTGATGGCCATTTTGACTGGTGTGAGGTGATAGCTCATTGTGGTTTTAATTTGCATCTCTCTGACGGCTAGTGATGTTGAGCATCCTTTCATATGTCTGTGGGCCCTCTATATGTCTTCCTTGGAGAAGTGTCTATTCAGGTCCTTTGTCCATTTTTTAGTCGGATTGTTTGTCTTCCTGGTATTGAGTCATATGGGTTCTTTATCTATTTTAGAGATCAAACCCTTGTTCAATAATTAATAAGGCTAAAAAGAGCATTATAACATCGCTTTACTGGAGCTATATAAAAAAATCTTATCAAATCTAGTGTTAGGACCCAAGAGTAGAAGATGGAGAAGAACCTGCAAATGTAAGTGAAGTTGATAAAACAGAAGTGTTGTGGGCCTAATAAATACACCTTACAAAATTGTGTTAAATGTCTTCCCTGAATTTGTCAAACCATCACCTCCAGCAGTGAGCTAGAACTAGTGGTCCCATGCTAAAGTTTGGATGAATCCCCCAAACTCACCCTGGTTGCTGTGGCTCAGTGGATTGGGCACCAGCCTGCAAACCAAAGGGTCGATCCACCAGTTTGATTCCCAGTCAGATCACATGCCTGGCTTGTGGGCCAGGCCCCCACAGGAGGCACATGAGAGGCAAACCACATGTTGATATTTCTTTCCCTTTTTCCTCCTTTCTCTTCCCTCTAAAAATAAATAAAATATTTTTTAAAAAATCCCCCAAACTTTAGGTGATGGTTACTTTTGGCCTTATGAATTATCACTTTATTAATTTAATTATTTTATTAGTTACCTAACATAAGCTATATTCTACCTTAATTCCATATTTGTGGTCCTGAAAAGCTTTATGTTCTGCAAAACTACATACTAAAAACTATAGGACTTATGGGAATAAAATAGGATTAAAGTAAACCACTCAAAACCTATAGAACTTTGTAATCAAAGAAGTGACAAAAATAATACCAACTCTTTTTAGAAATAGTAGCACAGTTAAATCTCCACTGGCATTTGTACATAGATTTACAGTGCAGGCATCACGGCAGCCTTAGATTCTGGGACTCAAGATTCTGGGTTTCTTGAGGGAAGAATCCCTCAAAATGTGGGTCCTTTAAAGACATTTGCACTGATAGAGTCCAGCTTCATCAACATAACACATGTAAATTGGAGGTAGCCTTCTTCGGCTAATACGTGTTGACATAGGAAAAAAGGGTTTGTAAATTCCTCTGCATTTGCAGCCCAGACAGTGTAACATATGCACCGGTTCTTAAAGTGTGGCCCTCACATATGCTTCAGCATCAAGCAGCCATTTGTGAGAAATGTGAGTTCATAAGCTGTCCTCTAGACCCACTGAATCCTAAAACCCTGTAGCAGCCGCTCTCGCAGACGTTTCTGCATGACTTCAGCTATTTCATTAAGGTCTTCAATATTGCGAAGACTTGTATTTAATTGTAAGAAAGTTGGCTCCTGATCTTGTCAGAACATTATCACACTGGAAAAGTCACCCACTTACCAATATGATCTGTGTGTTAAACTGATGTCAACTCCCCATTGATCAATTGCACAGGAAGTGAGTCACAGTAAAGAATACCCTGTTATGCTAAACAGACTGTGACAGAACAGAAGTATTGGGTACAGTTAGAAGAGCATTGGCGATAAAGCCAATTGAACTGAGTATGAAGGATTACTTAGCCTCCCAGAACCCCTCTTCCATCTGCAAAGTGGGTGTAAGTAGCCCACATCATGGAGTAGAACTGTATCTAAATGAGATGATCTATTTAAATGTCTAGAATGTCGTAGATGCTTAAATACATTCTAATTCTCTATCCTTCATTGTTTTTCTTATGAAAAAAACTTTTATAAAAATAAAAATAAAAGCTAAATAAATATTTTTTTTATTTTTATTGTTGACACTATTACACATGTCCCCATTCCCCCCACCTCATCCTTGGCTCACCTCCACCCAGCCCACACCATCCCCCTTTCCCTCTGGCCATCACCGCACTGTTCTTATTGGTCTGGAATCTTAAAATATGTTGGGCTAAGGTGTACAATGTCAATCAATTTTAAAGTAACAATTGAAGTTGACTAATGGGGTTGAGGGTGATTATATCACTATGTACAAAATCATCCAACAGATGTTTTAGAAGTAAATTTAATAATAACTTATAATAATGATACAATAATATTAATACAATAAAATGATACAAGAGTAATTAATAATTATTTAATAATGATGATGTCTCAACACCAAGGATATTGACAGACAAATAATAGCAATTTATTTTAAACATCTACCAATATTATAGTAGTAATGGCTGTAGTCAATGTGAGAGTAGTAGTCCTAACAATGTGGGCAGCCAACACTGCATGTTTCATCCGTGAGAGCGGAGACGATATCCAGCATGACCACAGCCATATGCCCAGTACTTGACATAGCACCAGGAACAAAACATGTGCCCAAGAAATATTTGTCGAATGAAAGAATGTCCTGTTTTGGGTAATTCAGAGAAATTTCATCTTTCTGCTCATAACACCAATACTTGTAGACTGAGATGATTATTAACTCAGTTTTATAAATAAATAAGAAGACTTAAAAAGGTAAAATGACAGACACAGAAACCCAGATAAATAGAGGTCAAATCTCCAAACTACTTACTGACAGAGCTTCCGCGTTTCACAACTTACTCAGAATCTACAGAGACACAATCTGCTCTGAAATATTTAGAGTCTGTAGATGAGTTATCTTCCAAATGTGGCTGTTTTTCTTCCCCTTGAAATTCATAGTTGGTGCTACTGCGCAGATGGCTGCCAACATATGCTTTGACTAAAACACTGTGGTCAGAGGTCCATTGTAGAAGCATTCAAGAGAAGATAAGAGATGACAATTGTTTAAATGAGCTTAGAGCTAAAACTTTCTGCCTAATATATTATTTTTATTTAAAGAATTCTAGAACTTCTGGTAAAATAGATTGTGCTAAGCATCTTTTCATTCCTCTGTTCTCATTAATCTGTGTTCTTACAGGAGGATCATTTCTATTTGCTCAAGTATCTGTGATGTCATTTTTTGTCAATAGACAAATCAACAGTTTAAAGAAATACCAGGCTAGGGGCAAACATTGTATAATTTATTAATACAGATAAAGGATGGGAAACTTTCCCAATGAGAATAAGTCAATAGTTTGGAATTTATGAGTAAGAACTAAACAGGAGTCAGGGAACTGAGCAAAACCTGTGAGATGGGGAAACCCAAGAGCCATAGGATCAGACATTACTGAGTTAAGAAAATAGGAGCTGCAGTTTTTAGCCACACAACTGTAGCTGAATAGGCATGGGATATAAAACAGTTGGTTGCAGCTTCACAGATAATATGAGAGACAATGAAAAACGCATATAGGCACTCATGTAGAAAGTGTGAAAAATTATTTATGCAAGTTAATTTAGAATGTTCTTGTTTATTCTTCCCCAAAGGATTTGACTTTTTTTTTAGTGCTGGCAAAAATAGATCATAGTAGCACATAAAACATAATTCCAGTCTAGTGTAAAATTACATCTATGTGTAAAGGTTTACTTGGAACTTGTACCCAAGTATTCTCTCTCCTCGTCTTTTTTCTCAGATGTTTTATTAATTCTATTGAAGTTTTAATTTTTAATTTTTTTAGTTTGACAGAGAGATGCAGTTCTAACATGGACACCTGGAGTCTCAGAGGTCCTTTGGACAGGGCCAGGCAAAATTTTGCTTTTGTTGATGCTTGTGGACTTGATTTCAGTTGATTGGGAGATCTGAAAATCTCTGTATGCCTTTCTGAACAGTTAAAAGAACCATCAGAAGTAGTTAAAATTTAGAAACTGCATGAAATATAATGTATTTAAGTCTAAAACACTAGGAAGAGGTGTTTTTCATTTTTATTTTTTACTAAGAGCTGATCTTGTTGGATAGGGAAAAATAGAAAGCATTATTATTTCTCACTCCAATTCATTTGAAGCTAATGAAAATCTCATTCAATTTCATTCAAATTATGCTCTGACTCTGTACGAGTGATATATGCTATTTGAGAAAATGAGGGAGATGATCACCTTTCAGCAAATAGCTCATGACAAGATGTGTGTGTGTTTGTGTGTGTGTATGTCTGATAAGGGATGACTTATCTTTGAAAAAGACCACAGTTAGATTGTGGTTTAGAAGATGTGAAGAGTTTTATGTTCAGGTTTAGTAGAAATAAACTTAAATTGTAATTAATTTGTGGCACGATTACCATTTTGATTAACTTAACCTTTCCCTGTGCCCTAGAGGTGGCGGGAGGGCCATGCTAATAGCCTTTTGAATTAGTTACACGTTTTTGGTGCTGGAGTTGAAAAGTTCTTTTCAATCAGTACAGTATATCAAAGTCAAGTATTTTATTCAGTTTGGTTTGTAATTAAAGTTAAAAGAGGGCATGTCAGTCACTGGGAAGTAAGATATACATTGAACAAAAATACTTTTATCCTGAACTTTTGTTTTTGAAAATGATAAGAATTTGTCTTTAGACAGAAATAAGAGACTGCAAAAATCCTGCCAGTTCAAGGAAAAATTCTTGGGCAGGTGAGGTATAATTTTGATCATTATTGTCCTCCACCCTGCCCATGGTGCCCTTGTGAGGTCAAGGCTGGGCTACGAGGATCTTGCAACTGGGCAGGCCTCTGACTTACCAAGATCTTCTGTCTCCTGACTTACAGGAACCCTGTTAGGTTCTTCAAAGCCTCCATCCCCATGAAGTCTTCTCTTCCTTATATTCTCTCAGGTCTTACTCTCTCTACAGGGACAGTGGATAGATGTGGGGAGATTAGTTCACCACATTCCCAAAACCCCACGTAAAACTTTTGCATTTTATTTGGGTGCCCCCCACAATACTGAGGAACATTAAATAATGCCTTCAGCTGTGGTAATAGCTCCCATTGTGATTAGACATAAGAAGCAAGAAAATAGTATAAAGCGGGAATTTCTTTCAGAAACTCTTGAATTCAAACCTTCATTCACTTACTCACAGTCTTTTATTTATATTTTCATCCAACACACTTTTCTGCAAAAACTGTTAGTGTCCTATTGTTGCTGTAATAAGTTGCCACAAACTCAGTGGCTTAAAACAATACAGATTTACACTTATTGTTCTGTAAGTCAGAATTTCAAAGTCAGTTTTACTGGGCTGAGGTCAAGCTGTTGACAGGACAGCTCTTTCTGGAAGCTTAGATGAGAGAATCTATTTCTTTGCCTTTCCAGTTTCTAGGGGCCACCTGCATTCCCTGGCTTGTGGCTCCTTCCTCCATCTTCAAAACACACCCCTCTGATCTCTGACTCATTTGTCCCATGGCTTTCTCCTTGGGCTCTGACTCCTCCTGTCTTCCTCTGATAAGAACTCTCCTGATTATACCAGGTCCACCCAGATAAGAGAGAATAATCTAATCTCATGACTCAATTACAAAGTCCACTTTGCTATATAAACTAAAATTCACTGGTTTTGGAGATTACAATGGAGACCTATTTGGGAGCCATCTATCAGAGACCACAGGAATTGCATGCAAGGTGTGATGCTTGGTGCATGCTATAAGCAATGAAAAACCAATCTAGTGTTTTTAGATTTAATCGTAACCTGCCAAGTCATGCAGTTTAGTAAGGAAGATGAGATATGAGTAACAGGTAAAAAGTGAGGATGCAACAAGATTAGTGTAGACGGAAAGCCATGGATGTTCAGAAGATGGGCTATTAGTCCATTGCCCAGTGTGTTTGAGCCTTGGAGGCAAATAAAGCAATAGTATGGCCCATAAAAGTCAGTAAGAGATAAACAAATAATTGTTAGGGATGGCTGAACAAATCATACCTAAAATTTTATGTTGAAATGAAATGGTTGCAAAGGAAGTGCATTTCAAAGGAGAGTTCTTGAATTTTAGGCAAGGCAGTTGCATTATGTTGTTAGACAGCAGGAAGCATCATGTGTAGAAGTGTGTTGTAGAAAGATTATCCTGGTGACAGGAATGCATGCCTGAGCAGTCTTGCTGTGTGGTCTGCACATGTGGACCTGAGTCCACCATGCCCTCTTCGAAGAGCACACCAAAGGCAAGGATCAGGGTGAGTCATGGTGCCAGGACAGTGAAAGTCCAGTAATGAACACAAACATATTCCTTTTCTAGAGGTGATACTCTGCTTCACAAGTGCACAGTTGTGTACCTTGAGATGGAGTTAACAGAATACTGTAAAACCCAAGAGGTCTCTACCAGCCTCTCAGACTCTCTCTTGATCCATTATTTAGGTTCATATTTTTGCTCACCAAATCAGATTCTCTTAAGATTTATGATCAGTGCTAGCAGTATTCAATCTTTTAAGTGATGTAGTTAAAAAACAAACAAAAACCCAAACCATGGCATCCCAAGTATAATTATCATATCTATACTTGTAGCATTACACTAACTAGCTTTGTGATCTTAAGTTGGCCCCCTTTAACCTCTTTGAACTTCAGCAAAAATAATACAAATTTTACCTAACTCACAGGGCTACTTTAATATAAAGATCAGTCAGATAGTAAACAAGATGCTTTGTACACTGAAAATTAATTCACATTCACAAAAAATGATATGGAGTTTAAAATTGGTTGAAAAAGTATTCCTCAATGTGTGTTGCTGAATTGGCAATGATATAGATCAAATTAAGAGAGTGAATTGTGGCCTTTGAGGTGTTGATCCCCTGAACTAGAACATCTAGTGTTGCCTGATGTTGTGGAGTTATCTATTGGGCTGATCTGCATCCTTGAACTGACCACAGGCAGTCTGACTGGAAGGAAAGACAGAGAGAGGGGGGGGGGCTGATAAATCTGGAATTTAATTAGCAGAATCACTCAAGTGGAAAGGTTGAAGCCTAACTGGGTTTCTGTTTACATTAAATAGATTTGATTTGTAATCTGACTCAATTAGCCTGAAATTAAATTCATCTTGAGGCAGAAATATCATAGATGTAAATATTCTCTTTGGGGGGAAAAGAAACACTCAATAACATGACAACTGTTAATTTCTTTCTACAATCTTATTTTAGGGATGCTTCTCCACCTTTTCTCCAGGCCACAAGTGGTCATCTTCTTGCCCACTCCACCCCCATCCCCATCTCCACACTTGCCTTAATCAAAATTGATGGTACCATTTCCTCGGTGCCCCAAAGTCCTCATGGTGGATACTTACAGATAACATGTTAAATTATTCCACGATAATATTGTGGCAGTTACTCCAATGTGTTCATAACTGCTATTTCAATATATGTTGAATATGAATGGAAGCAAGAACATTTCCTTAAAAATAATCATTCTATTAATCAATGCTTACAAGCACATTAGAGCAGATGACATTAGAGAAGTCATTCTCCTTGATGCAAAAGTAAGCTTTGATTGAAACACTGAATGTGTTTCCATTCCTCATAAGAGAGAGTTGATTTTTGGTAGTGTCATCCAGGGGCAAACCTGATAGGGGAAGGCTGAATTCAGAAAAAATTATGATCGAGTAGATATTCAGAGTTTTTGCCATCAAGATTCCTCTGCCGTGAGCCAGAACCCTAGACCTTTTGTCAAGATCAACCACATGCCTCCTGAACAGCCTTTCTGTCACCTCCCCACTGTAGAGCAGACCTGAGACATTACATATGAGCCACAATCACCAATGAAGCTGTTGTGTAGAAAGATCAACTTTATCTAGGCCACTTCTTCATGACTCAACCCAATAAAGGCCCTAGCATTAGAGTCTATAGCTCCTTTGGGGGAACTTCTCTTGCTACTTCTCCTCATTGACTCTCAAAGTCCTTTTCCTGGGATAGGGAGAAAAGACCTAAGATTCAGACCTGTTTTTCTTTGGGGTGCATGTTGACATGTGCAGAAAGTAGCTGCTAATTCTGAGTAGCGGGCACCAGGAGATGGGAATTTTGTGATTGTGATTCTCTGAGAGTGGAAGTCTGCTCAGCCAGCAGGCTTTGGGGAACTACAGAGAGGAGGAATGCCATACCCCCATGCTGGGGCAGGCACTGAGCATTCAAGAGTGACTGCTAACAGTCTTTACTCTGCTCTGGACTAGTTTCTTGCTGGTCCACTCTCCTCTCACCAAATGATTTCATTAAGTCTCCTTTTGGCTCCTAGAGAGCAAGGTCATTTTCTAAGGCACCTTGGGTCCATCTAGTTCGGTGCTGCCAACAGTGCCTCCTTCCATTCCCCTGCCCACAATTCTCACTGTAGTTTCTATCTTTTCCCATAATGCTCCAAGCCCTTGCTTCTAGGCCCCCCTCTTGGGCTCTCCATTTTGCTAGCCTGCATTCTTTCTGAAAGAAACAACTTTATTAGCCTTCTCAGTTCTCTAACTGCCTTGACACCTGACATCACTGTATGACAACTCGTGCTACAGAGCCTTTAACCTGAATGACTGCATCAAATTACTCTCTGCCTTGGAGCTCAGCCTTATCTGAAACTCCAAGACCAATTCTGACTTCCAGCATAGGATACATAAGTAGCCCCTTTAACATAGATCTCTTTAGCCATAAGTCTTGCTGCCTAACAACCTAAGTCTTCCAAATGATTGCCCATATCTAGTAATATCAATTATAAAATATTCTACAAGATTCTGATTGAAGGCCTTTAGAGGCAAAAAGTTCTCTTTTGGTTCAAGTGTGATTCTGGGTCTGCCCCTCTTTAGAATATTGGCAGAATATTCTTAGGGGATTACTTTGAAACATTTGTTCTCTGTGCCTGACACCAAGAGGTTTCCTTACAAGGAGGCTATTATGGTTGTCAAAAGACAGTAGCCATGGTCCAGTGATATCCACTTAAGGAAGTGGTAAAGCTTAGACTGATGTGCCCTGATACCAGTACTAACTCTTCCTGTCACCATGTGAACATGGGAAGGATCACTTCATCTCTCTGGTCTTCAGGTTCCTGGAAGGTGAGGAAGGGCATGAGATAATCACTGAGGCTCATTCTAGATTTAAAATAGTGTCATGAATTGCCATCAGGAGTCTTTGTGACTGAACAACTACTAAAGTGGAGGTAGAGCAGGTATAGGCACTTTTTACATGTCTGCTTACAGCCCTCCCTACTCTGCTTTGCAAAAGCTCAGAATTTGAATGAGCCTCTATAAAAAAAGGATAGTCATGTCAATAACTTAACATTACACTGTAAGAGACTAGAAAAAGAACAGCAAACTAAACCCAAAATAAGGAGTTCCAGCCAAGATGGAGGCATAGGCAGAAACACTTCGCTTCCTTACAGAACCAAATAAAGGATAACAAAAAAATTGAAAAATAATAAACAACTAGAACTGCCAGAAAATCAAACTGCATAGAATTCTGACAACCAATGAATTCAATAAAATTCATCTGGACTGGTAGGAGAGACAGAGATGGGTAGCCACCAGCAAGATGGTGAACCATGTGAGTGAGGTGAGGCTGGCTGACCAGGAACTGGTCAAAGACTCAAAACCTCTAGCTGTGAAATACTGTGGGGGTTGTGAAGGTGGGAGAGACTCTCAGTCTCACAGAAGAGTTCATTGGAAAGTAGGTCTGGAGCAGAGTGAGTGAGCAGCATTGTTCCCTCTCTGACTCCTTCCCCTACAGACAGTGCCACAAGGTAGCAAAGAGAGTTAGTTCTCCACCCTGGTGAATACCTAAGACTCTGCCCCCTACAGCATAACAGGTGTGCCCAGACAGAGAAATATGACACAAATAAAAGGGCAAAAGAGAAAGAGTTAAGGGACAAGGAGATAGACAATCTATCTGATGCAGATTCAAAACAATGGT